TGGACAAACTGGCAGGCTACTGAATGTAACCTGCCCACATGGCAGAATCTGGCAAACTCCCCGTGGCGTACCCAATATGCCAAATACCAGTAACAATGAAGGGTCTCATTCTCCTAACTCTGAAAGAGCCTTGAATATGGCACTTAAAAAAAAATCTCAGGGATAGGATGAAGGAGACGTTACTGGGGCCTACTCGAGGCAATCGACGAATAACAGGATGGTTGTGATCGTCATGATTGTCACGGTTCTTGCTCGGATTGGATGATGACAGCAAATGACTATTAGGAAGATAATCTGAGCTCGACCCAGGCTTCCTGAACATCTCTGCACTCGACCCCCTAAGGACGGACAGCAGGGCTGCCAGCTGCCGAGGCCTTGGAAGGACAGGGCACAGCAGTGCTGGCGGGGTCTGCTCCGGACAGGGTGGTCCTTTCCACGGGGCTTCCCTGCCCAGAGCAGAGCAAGGGAGGGTGAGCAGCAGAGAGACTGGCCCAGGAAGCCTCTGTGCCATTTTATTTGGTATGAAATTCTGAAATATGGCACTTCATATTTAAGCGTGAATTTTATTTAAGCTGACATCCAACAGCACGTTATTTATTTATTTACTTTTTTTTATTGGAGTGTCTCCCATTTTGGCTTTCCCTCAGTCTTAGGTGCATTGTCCCAGATCAGCAGTTGTCTGGGGCTCACCAAGTCCATTGCTAACGCGCTGTTTCCTCTCCCCATCAGGCACTGACCTCCTTTGCCCAATTTCTACACCCCACCCTCCCTTCCCTTCTGGTGACCACTAATTTGGCCTCATAGTTTAAAAGTTAATTTTAATTTTATTTTGTTTGTCTAATTTTGCCCCATTTCTCTAAAGGTCAGCTATGAATGAAATCATACATATGTACATTTTCCTCCTTCTAATTTACTTCATGAGATATAACACTTTCCACAGTCCTATGTAGTACTCTCCATAGTTTCATGCATATTGTTCCAAACAGCAGGCTTCATATTTTCACAGTCACGGTACATATATCATGGTCCTCCCATTGTTCATCAATTTTGCTCGAGCGGGCCCAGTAACATCTCCATCGTGAGACTTGTTGTTACTGTGTTTGGCATATCGAATACATCATGGGTAGCTTGCCAGGCTTTGCCGTGTGGGTGAGATACTCTCGGTAGCTTGCTGGGCTCTCCGAGAGGGGCGGAGGAATTGAACTCAGGTCAGCCACGTTGATTGTGTGCAAGGCAAACGCCCTATCGCTGTGCTATCGCTCCAGCCCAGTAGAAGCTTTCATATATTCCATATTTTTCATATTCATCAGGCTCCAATATTTTGTAGTTCCCATTGTATGTGTCTAAATATAGATATACACACTTATACATACCATGTCTTCATCTAGTCATTTGTGGTTTTTAGGCTGCACCTGGCAGTGCTCAGGACTTACTCCTGGTGTGCACTAAGGAATTACTCCTGGAAGACTTGGGAGACCATATGGGGTGCAGGGAATCGAGCCTGGGTTGACTACGTGCAAGGCAAGAGCCAGACAACCCTCGGGTCCCAAGAAACCCTCTGTGCATGAGCCTTGGGTTATTTCCACACCTTGGCTAATGTAAATAGCATGAACATGGGATGGTTGTATGTACTTTAATAGCATTTAAAAATATATATATGTTTAGGCAAAATACCAGGAATGGCACAATTAGGTGGATGAAATTTCTGTCTTTAGTTTTTGACGGAGCCTTTAAACTATTTCCCACCTTGCAGCGATGTATATTCACACTAACAGTGGAGAGTTCCGTCCCTCCATATTCTCTCCAACAAGAGGCTTCCAGTGACCACTTGGTCTGCCCACCCACCCGCAGAGACACACCTCAATGGCAAGCAAAGAGGGAAAAACAACGATAGTTTGGTAACAACTGAGCTAGAAGGAAGCAGAATTTAAGTCTGGGGGTGTCCAGGTAGGGTTCACAGCCAATGGACAACTCGGGAGGTGACACTTAGTATCTCTCTATGCATACATCTACTAGGCATTCAAATAGACCAAGGATTCCATTGGACAGTCAGGTTTGGGCCTGCAGTGACGAGACATGCAGGGCCTGACGAGACGGGGGTGGAGCTGGTCCTGTCCTCCCCACCCCAACGAGATCCCCAAGTCATCACCCACGAATGGCCTTTCTGGCTCCTGATCAAGCTGCTTAATGGCCATGATCCCAGAGACTCAGAAACAAATCTTGAAACCCAGTGACTTTTGACTGAAACGTGTCTGGACCATGCAGCAGGTTACTGTCACCAGGCCACCCCAGGAGGGGAAAGGGTGTTGTCCCTCCGCCTGCTCCCCCTTGGTGGCTTGGTGGCCACCATCCTCCAGAGGCCATTGGACAGTCAGGCTTGGGCCCGCAGTGATGAGATATGTTGGGTCTCACAGGATGGGGGTGGAGCCGGCCCTTTCCTCCCTGTCCCAACAAGACCCCGAGTCACTGCTCACAAACGGCCTCTCTGGATCCTGATCAAGCTGCTTAACGGCCATGATCCCAGAGACTCAGGAACAAATCTCAGAACCCAGGAGGTTTTGGAAAGAAATCCTTCCAGATTTAATTGCTAAAATTTTGGAATTTCAAAATCATGCGGCCACTATTGTGGCCACGCAACATCATATGTTATTCATAACCAGCAATAGAAAACAAATTGTCTACTTCTGCCTTTTCCAGCAGAGCTGAGTGTGGGGGTAAAATCCCAAATAATATGGTGGGTCTGGTGTCAAAATATCGAATGTAATCAAAGTAGAGAGAGAGTAATTTGGAAATCATCTGCCCCACAGGTAGGGGGAGGGTGTGGGATGAGGGGTATACTGGGGTTTTTGGTGGTGGAGAATGAGCACTGGTGAAGGTACGGTTGTTTCATTGTATGACCGAGACTTAAACCCGAAAGCTTTGTAACTGCTCTCACGATGATTCAATAAATAAAATTATAAAAAATGAAAAAAAAGTAAGGTGGAGTTCATGCACAATTCAATCAGTCTAATTAGTTGCTGAATAAATAGCAGTATTCCTACATTAAAAAAATAGGCCAAGGATTACAGAGTCTGGGACACTTCTGTCCCTTTCCAAGTTAGACAGTAATTTTTGAAAGAGATCCTAAGTTGTTCCATAATTTCAAATCTAAAGAATTACCAACTTATGCTCTAGGTCCCTCCTGTCATATCTAACAACTGGATCAACTGACAATTATAAGAGGATAAAGTACCAATATAAATCATTTCTGTTTGGAACGGGCCTGGATTCCTTCACCTCATGCCTTGGTCCCAAGGAGGCTGTATTTCACTGCTTCCAACCCTTCACAGTCCCATCATTTCATTCAATCAGGGTACTCCCATTGTTCATCGATTTTCTCGAAGGGGGCCCAGTAACGTCTCCATTTTGAGACTTGTTGTTACTGTGTTTGGCATATTGAATACGTCACGGGGAGCTTGGATACTCTCGGTAGCTTGCCGGGCTCTCTGAGAGGGGCGGAGGAATCGAACCCAGCTTGGCTGGGCTGGCTGCGCGTAAGGCAAACGCCCTACTGCTGTGCCATCACTCCATTCAATGGCAAACAAAAACTCCCTCCAAAGAAGCACCTTCTCTCCAATCTCCTTAACCTTCCTCAGATCGGCCCAGGGTAGCTGAGCAGATTGGATGAGGCCCCTGCAGAGGCTGCACCTCAAATTGATACGGAATCAGCTTCTCAAAGCCTTGGGGGTGAGTGAGAGAGAGTGGGAGAGAGGACAGGCTTAATGCGCTTCCCTGTCCTGAAACAGTCCCCAGTCTGATCCCTGGCACCACACGTGGTTCCCTGAGCGCAGAGCCAGGGTAAGCCCTGGGCACGGCTGAATTTGCCCTCAAATAAATAAGTTAACAAACAACCCCCGCGCTTCAGGGCTGAGTTGCAGCGAGCCTCTTTCGACAGTGACCAGAGAGAGAGGACTGAGCCGCTCCCACAGCTCCCGGGCGAAGGCGCCCTGGACTCGGCGGAGACAGCTGGAGCATGAGCCCACGCAGATGGGGCTGTGCACAGCCTCTGCCGGGAGGCACACGCCACTCGGGGCCCCAACACCCAGGACCAGCGCAGGAAGAACACGGCTCACGGCCTGGATCTCGGCAGGGAGAGCTGTCCACAGGAAAGACGGGCTGGAAGGCCTCTCAGGGAAACCGAGTCAGGACGCTGTGACATCGCTGCTGGCAGCTGAGCAGTGGGAAGCCAGCGTGCGCTCCGTGAGCCGTGTCCTCGCCTGGACCTCCTGCCTCCAAGCTCAGGACACGGTGACCCCCCGAAGACCCGGCGACCTTCTGCAGAGCTGGGCTGGGAGTGGGCTCTGGCAGGCTGGGTAGAGGGAGAGAGCGTGTCCTCGGCTCTCCCCTGCTGGGTGGCAGGAAGCAGAAGGGGGGTGCGGGGGGGCGCTCCCCAGCAGCCCTTCCCGGCCCCTACGTGTGCCTGCAAGTCGTGGCCTTGTGGCGGAGGGTGGGCCGTGCACAGAGGCGGCGGGAGGAGGTGGCTGCTGTCTCTGTCACGTCCACAGCCACGTCTCTGTCCGTGCCCCACGGCCGCCTGGCCCCCCTGGACGGCAGCGCCGCCCCCTCCAGCCCATCCAGTGGCCTCGTTCTCCAGTGCTCCTGGTCCAGCGAGGCCTCAACACACGGTTCTCCTGTCACACCCCATCACCTGTGACTGAGTCCCCAGCACTCCTCACTCTCACACTTTAAGTTCCGGACCCAGTTCCAGCCACCCAGAGCCGTGCTCCCTGCGGCTGTCTGCTGCGTGTCCCACACCTGCTCTCAGGGGAGCTGGGTGCCCCAGCCGCATAACTGTCCTCGGACCTGCCACACCGTGACTGCATGCCTCCTCTGCTCCCAGAGCACTGGCCGACTGGTCCCAGGACTCCTCCACCCCCCCCCCCCTTCACCTCCCCCTGCCGGCTCCGCTGCCCCTCGTGCAGAACTGGTCCCCGCAGTGGCAGCCCTGGGGCAGTACTCACCGGCAGGTGCCCGAGGAGTGGGGTGATGCTGTCTGAGACGTACAGGATGCTGCCCTCCGTGGTCACCGCGATGATGAAGCCGTCTAGAGCCTGCGGAGACAGACCAGCCCCACGAGTTGGGGCTCCGCGTCAGGCAGGGCTCCGTGTCCCCCGGAAGACCCTGCTAAGAGCCGCGCCACTCAGCGCTGCCTCACGCGCAGCGTGGTTTGCCCACAGTGCTGTCCAGCTGGGCAAGAGTGCGCACAAGCAGTGAAGGCTCCGTCAGGAAACTCTGACCTGTTGGGGTCTGAAAGCAAAGTGCAGTCGTGGAAACGGCCTAAGCCTTTTGCTGGTCCAAATGCCATCAGGCTAACTCAGAAAGAGCCCAAGCCCCAGGAAGGGATGTGTGATGCCTTACGGCTCCGCCAACGGCACTCTGAGCCCAGCAGTGAAGAATCACAGAAGAGTAGAGACCAAAGACGCACTAAAGACAGAACGTCCCCGGTGGGTTCGCAGCTGACCACTGTGATCTGATGGGGCTGTCTGCAAGGAAACTTTAGGGCAGCCCAGAGTGTGTGTGTGTGTGTGTGTGTGTGTGTGTGTGTGTGTGTGTGTGTGTGGAGGGCGGGGCAGGGTGGGGTGGGGCAGGCAGCTCCAGGAGATGTGGAAGGATTGCAGAACGTGGAAAACTGCGTTTGCCTGAAAGTTAGGCGTCCTGCTCTCAAGCTGGTGTCAGAGAAGAGGAAAGGCAGCCGTCATGTCCGACCCTTCACACTGGGCGCACATAACCGCAAGGTGGTTCTTAAGAGCTACTGGACCCAGTTCAGCAAGGGCCACCTGGCAGCTGGCTCTAAGGGCGCACCGGAGAATGAAAGAACGGCTCACAGCGACCAGCGCCTTCCCCTGGGCTTCACGGAGCAACCCCAGGCCCACTTTCCCCAGGCCCTGCTTCTGTGATATAGTATATTTCTCTGATAGGAAAAAAATTTCTACTTTGGGTAAGCCAAAACCAAAATTGAAATCTGTGCCTAGAAAGTTCTGGAAACACGTCACCATGTACTCAGCTCCTGCGGGGGGCTGCTGAATAGCTAGCAAGATGGCACTTGCTCTTGCCCTGACAGAGAGGGAGGTGCCTACCAAATGCCAAAGGTCGGGAGAGCTCTTCTCAGCCGGAAAACGAACACTGGGGTCGCCCAGTTCCTGACACTTAAGTGCTGCAGTGTTCGGGGCTGGAGAATATATCGAAGCACATTCCTCAGGGCGCATCTACCTCCCAGGTCTCACCAGTGGGTTTCAGCTGGGACTGACTCTGTGCCCTCACGTCCTAGGTGCTTGTGGTAGTCGAAGGGGGGCTTTGGACAGCACTGGCGTGGGAGCTGCTGGCGTCTCTCGGCAGAGGCCAAGGAAGCCCTGGAGTGCCCGCTGATAGCCACCCACCTGTGGTGACCAGCCCCAAGCGGGGCCCGGCCTGACTGGCTTTACACTCTTTCAGAACATGCAGCCACACCCGCCCTGCTTTCCTTTCTGCTTCCTCTCCAGGGTTTTTCGGAATTGTTTCATTGATTTGATTTCGGTTTGGGGGTCACTCCTGGCGGTGCTCAGGGGACGGGCAGTGCTGGGGGTTGCACTGGGCTTCAGGCAGGCCGAGCACGCACCCGGCCCCCGAGCCTGCCCCCAGCCTCTGATTTGACTGAGATCATGTGTTCGGTGCTTCTGAGGAGGTGAGGCCTACAGATGAAGTCACACCACCTGTTTTGGAAAAAACAGATGAGACACCGGGCAGAGCAGGGGCAGTGCAGAAGATCTTCTTTTCCGGGGCCCCCGTCGCCTCCTGAATGACAGAGGAAGTGGGTGTTGAAAAGCTGTAGTTATTTATAGACGGGAGATAACTTTCATCAGCTCATTGGCATTTTCCACCCGGCGCCCAGGAGCTGCACTGAGTCACTGTTGTAAGAACGCTCTGCTTGCAGGGGAGCCCTACACAGGCAACGCACAGTGGCGCAGCGGACCAGGGCGCAGGCTGCGTCCCCCCCCATGAGGTGGAGCAGGGCACAGACTGTGTCCCCCATGGGCGGTGGCTGCCCATGACTCAGGGATGCCAGGTGATGTCCTGACCCCCTTCCCGTACTAGCGACACAGCAGTGGGAAGCAGGGTCTCTTCCTGCCTGTTTCCGACCCGACGGAGTGTCACTGTACTATGTGGGACCACCCCTGGCTGAGTGAAAGGATCATTCTGGGTTTTTCCATAAAACTCAGGCTCGACATGGTCTAGCCAGCTACCAGCTCCCCAGAGCACTGCACTGCAGAGTACTCAGAGTCCCCCGCAAGCTCTCCCTGTAAGGGTGGTCTTCTTTTGTGGTGGTTCGTTTGGTGGGAGGCACACTCGGTGGTGCTCAGGACACGGGTCACTCCTGGCGCTGGGGACAAACCCAGGACTCCTGTCCGCATTACAGTGCTCTGTCTCTTTGATCTGGGTGAGATTCTGCCCTCTCGAGCACCCCCTACTGGCCGTACTGTTCATCTCCTCTTTCAGAAGCCCCCTGGATGGGTCGGCCTGGAGTTTGGTTTGGGCCTTTTTGAGAGAAGAAGGAAGGAGGGGGTGTCTCCAGGATCTAGGGGGTCCACTTCCTGGGGCCCAGTGAGCTTGATCTCATGTAAAATAAGGAGACGAGAGCATGGCCCAGAGCGGCCTGCAGGAGCCTGTCCATCAGAGCAAGGACACAGGGGTGGTCACACACCACCAGCTAAACAGAAATCTAAAGGCAATGACTCGAGGGTTTCCCAGATTCCCTGAAGCGACACTTCGTGCAGAACGTCTGCTGTTTCTAGGGCTCCAATTTCTGGTCTCACTCCCACATCTCGTGGGATTTCCTTTAGATCCATATCAAGGAGTGAACACTGGAAACAAGGAAAATGTAGTCATGTAAATCTAGAATCTCCTGTTTGTGACTATTCTAAGCGCCAGTCCTTTCTCCACTAACGTATATCCACTTTTTCTACTGTACGAAATTCTGTTTTCCTCAAACTCTATCTTGAAACTGAATGGGAAAAAGTTTGTGTTCAAGGCATTTGAAAAAGACACCAGGTGTGTTTAGACTGCAGGAAGTCCTCATGAGTGCCATGAAACTAAGCCAAGGCTCAGCGGAAACTTCAGCCTTGAGTGAATTGAATAAAATGAACAACGTGCTCAATGGAAAATTGCCTGAAGGCCTTTGAATTATGTCATTTTGCTCAATATTGGCTGGGGTTATTTTTCCCTCATCAATGTTATAATAAAACGATGTTGATTGAAAGAATGCTTTGTTTGAGAATCTGCTGTACTTTTCCATAAGAATTAAAAGATAAAACGACTCATAAAGTAGCATAGTGATGCATTAATTCAAAAAAATTCACAAGCAGCCCTAAATGTAACACACTTAAAAGGCATTGCTTCTGGAAAAATTCCACATTTTCTTTAACTAAATTTCACACGTGGATTGAAGTTTCTCTTCCTCTATGCAATTGTTCATCAGCATGTTTACTTTTCATAATATTTGGACATCTTCATCCTGGCATTTTTTTTCTCTAGGACTTTCTGTTCTCTGCAGATCTAATCCATGGAAATTGGAGCGTCTGCCAGTCCTCTCTAAGCATGTAAGACGCAGCACAGAGGGGCTGGAGCAATAGCACAGCGGGTAGGGCATTTGCCTTGCCTGTGGCCGACCCGGCTTTGATTCTTGGTATCCCATATGGTCCTCCGAGCACTACCAGGAGTAATTCCTGAGTGGAGAGCCAGGAGTAAACCCTGAACACTGCTGGGTGTGACCCAAAAAGAAAAAGAAAAAACAAAACAAACAAACAAACAAAAAAGATGCAGCATAGAGAGACTTATCTTGAGAAGTCACTGGCAGAACCACTCAAACTTCCTCTGCCAGGACGCCCATCGGTACCCTCCAAGCCTCAGGGTCAGACCCCACATCTCGGACTGTCCTTTCACAGCTGCTCCCCACTCCCCAAGGCCCCCTCAGTGGGTGTGGAGGTCAGAGGTCAGGCCAGACCTCAGGGGCTTCCCCCACGTCGGCCATGACAGTCGAGAAGGTGCCAGAATCAGGCACCCCACAGCTGAGGCAGAGACGGAGGCAGGAAGGGGCATGTGCTGGGTGGGAGACAAGGGGCTCATTTGGGCTCACTGCCACATGCCAAAGTGAGGTAAGATGAGCCTGAATTAAAAGCATAACCTTAAAGAAAATAAAATTATTTTCCGTGTTCCACTGGGGGAAAAGGCAGACAGACTGCCTGCATTCTAAAGAGGAACCAACCTGAGCCCAGTGTCTGGGCAGAGAAATGATCTCCCTTTGTCCTTCCCGCGGCCCGTGAGGGCTCCCTGCCTGCCCCTTCTGCTTCCTCTCTTTGAGGAGACAGGAGCAGCCTGGCCTGCAGGCTCCTGGGCAGTCCAGGCCCAGACCCTGGCTCTGTACTCCTTTTTCAGATTCGTGTCAAACACCAGCAACCGCATGCACATTTTCCCAGGGATCTTCAGTTCTACGGCCTCTTTCCAGAATCAAGAATGGTAACTTACTTTGGGCAGAATATGTTCTAATTTACTGAAGGAGCGAGTCTGAAAAGCATCCCTCACCTCTAACATCAGCTGGGTGAACTCCTCATTGCTCAGGAACGAAGGTTTCCAATCCTGTTGAATGTCACAGATTTCTGTTTGTGCTGAGACTTCTATAAAATAATAATAATAATAATAATAATAATGAGCTTTCATTTTCAAAGGCACCTAGAATAGAAATTGGAGCGGACAGTTAGAACACATGCTGTTTCTATGTTGCTCTGTGTAACCTCTGTGTAGTTTAATTAAAGAAGCCAACTGCAGCATATGTTGGCCCGGTTTCCAAGGACCGGGAGCTTTGATTGAACAGGCTTAAAAACATCTCTTGTTGTTTTCACACCCTCTCATGAAGCTTCGGGAATGGGGAGCCTCACTCTGCATGGTGTAGACCCTGCCAATGGCGCTCAATTGACTCCCAACAAGCCTGTCGTCGATGGCTGGAGTGAGGTCACTGCTGAGACAATAGCATGGCACGTGAGACAGTGGGCAAGACACTGGCCTTCCACACACCAGCCGGGCTTCCATCCGTAGTACCCAGATGGTGTTCCTGAGCAGCACTAGGAGTGGTCCCTGAGCACAGAGCCAGGAGCAAGCCCGGAGGTCCTCTGGGGGTGACCCCAAAACAAGAAACAAAAACAAAAATTTGGGATGGCTAGGCATGTTTATAAGCTCCCTCTTTAGGGTCAAGGTGAAGCAAAATACCCAAGGCAGTTTCAGGCTTCCAGGAAAATCTTGGATTTGTGGTGGAGAATCTATTATGTCTGTATGGAATGACGTATAGTTCAGCATTCCCAATGACTGAAGTTTAATGTGCTTTACAAACGCATGTTATCTAGTTGCTTTTAACGCCAGAATTTACTCTACTCAAAGCTTCTGGGCTAACTTAGAGTTGGTTTATTCAGATGAAACAAGATATCTCTAAATCAAGGTGTCATTCATGTTTGTAAATCCAGTAATTGGTCTACACAAGACTCCTTAAATATGCTAATTTGTTTGCATTTTGAAAGAAGTTTGTTTAATTATCATCCGATCACATATTACAGACACTCCAAATACCACATAGAATGCTTTTTCTCCTTCAACTTATCATTCACCTTTAATCATATGTTTGATTACTACATATTTCACTTTATATAGTAAATCTGTAAAAATTAAAATAGCACTCATAGATATTATATAGAAATACAACAGCACTCATGGGTCACTCGGGCAGTGCTTGGGGAACCCTCTGTGGTGCCGGGGATTCGACCTGAGTCAACTGCAGACAAGGAAAGTGCCCGACCCAATGTCCTACCTCTCTGGCCCAGACAAAATACTTTTGAGTCAAAAATTTTTGGAAAGAAACACAGACTCTCATTGTAATTTGGAATACTTCAAAGAGAATAAATATGCATCCCAGGATCAAAATTTATCCCCTGAGCTAAGAAAATAGGAATGTTTGAAAGATTGTGGAAGAACAGAGGTAAATAATTTAGCTACCTGGCCCCAATTACCATTCCTTACTCATCACGCTGCATCCCTTCAGTGTGGAGGCAGAAAGCATGTCTAAATGCATGGTTCGTAACCTGTGCTACATAGAGAAATCACCTTGAGAGCTTTAAAAATATTAGTGTTCAGCCAGGGAGATGGTACAGCAGGTAAGGTAGGTAAAGTTTGCAGGTGGCTGACCCTAATCCAAGTACCTGGAGCCCTTTCAGGAGTGATCCCAAAGCCCAGCCAGGACTAGACCCTGGGCTCTTCAGAGTGTAGACCCCACTGAAAGAAAACCAAACACTAGGGTTTGGGCCTTGCTCAATGGTGTAACTGTAGTAGACCCTCATGTGTTCATACACGGCTCCCCAACCCCACAACCATAACGTCTGCCCATGGTGGTGCTGTCCGCTCCCAGATGGCTCGTTTCCACCTACTGACAGAGTCAGTGGGCTTTCAAAACTCCTGAAAATTTAACAATCTTCTTTTGCAAGCTGGGACAAGTCAGTTCCTGATCATAACCAGGGTTCTGTCCCAGAAATCCATTGGCCTGTGAGGTGCAACCCTGTCAAGTATATTGTAAAAGCTCTGGGAGCTTAGTTCATCTGTGGTGGCCCTGGAATGTGCTGCAGACATCAGTCTATGGATTCAGTACCCAGCGCCACCTCCCAGCCCAGGGAAGCCCGGCGGCACTGCTGCCTGTGCTCTCTAGTGCCGTGACAGAGAATCTGAGTTCTGGTGCAGTTTGATCAAATGCCAGGAGAAAGCAAGAAAAGATTCAGATACATGATGCTGACAGGCACTGGCGGGTGGGATCCAGAACAGGGATGGTCATGCTGTGGAAAGCTAGAGTGTGAGCCTGAGAGTCCCTTAGAGGCCCCTGCATGGCCTCAGTTGGATGAGCAATGGAGCCTGGGATAGAGCAATTGCACAGTGCCAGCTTGCAGCACGGAGGCAGGACTGACTCGAGATGCAGTGATCCCGGGTACCACTGCCAACATGCGTGGGCGCCACGACTAAGAATGTGAGTCCCACCACCAATAAGCGAGCCAGTGTGCTCACTGCAGTGATGACAAAAACCAAGGGAAAGAAAAAGAAAAGGAAAGAAGCATGTATGGCTCTGAAGCGCAGAGGTGTGGCTCTGGGTGGGGCCCTGCCAGCAGAGCTGGGCCAGCGTGGGTGCAAGTGCAATGCTGACGAGGACTTTCTGCCCAACTGCAGGTACCCGTGTAGTTGCTGACACAACAAATTAGAAGACAAGTTCTCCGTTGAGTGTTTTGCTTTGATTCGTATTTTGGCCCAGCAACTCTATGCTCTGGATTCTGTTTTCAATAAGGGGAATTGCAGAAGCTGAGAGGGAAACTGAGTTAGCCTTTAGCTGGTTGCATTTAAGAGGACTGTGCAGAAATGAAAATGACAATGAGATATGACTTTACACTTCACTTTAGTAGAGACAGAATGGTCTCTACTAAAAAGACAGGAAACAGCCAACATTGGTGGAGATGTGGTGAGAAGGGACACCTCATTCCCTGGATGGCAGCTGACGGACTGGAACTGCCAACTGGTTCAGCCTGTATGGAAAACTCTATGGAGATTTCTCAAAGATTCAAATGAAAATCCCAGATGATCCAGCAATCCCATAAATGCGAAAAGAAATTCGCACACCTGTGTTCATTGCAGCACTGCTTGCAATAGTAAATATCTGGAAGCAATCCAAATGCCCAATCAGAGATCAGCAGATAAAGAAATTATGGGAGAAAAGAAATTGTGGTATATTACACAATAAACTGCTACTTAGCTTCAAGAAAAGGTGGAATCTTGCATTTTATTACAACGTGGAGGGAACTGCAGCATGTCATGTTAGAGCAAAGTGAGTCAAAGGACAAGTGTTGGATGATTTCACTCATAAGTGGCACATAACGGGGCAAAACGAGGGAACAGACAGTGTCCAATAAAAACAAACCCTTGGCAAAGGATGTGAGGTTAGCCAGTGGGGCTGGGGGCAGGGGAGGGGATGCGGGACTGATAGGGACTAGAAGGTACATCAGGGTAGTCCTGGAGAAGGGACGCTCAGCATGAGCCCGAGTGTCACGAGAGGGCACTGGCGGGGGCCGCCCCCAGCACTGGTCTGCAGTCCAGGCCCGGAGTGGAGGGTTCTGTCATTCCCAGCATAAATGTGCGCTGATGAACTTGATCCCAGCTGTCCTACTTAACAGCTGTCCTGCTTCTCAGTGGCACTGACCTAGTTTGAGTAATTTGCACAAAACATCTTGGTAATCAAATCAACCTGCTATTTCACTTGGCAAACTTATTATTTAGGAAATATAACCATTCTGATTAAATTATTGGGCAATCAAATCCTGCTGCAACACTTTATCCCAATTCTACTTGATTGTTCTTCCTTGACTTTTACTGAAAGCAATTAACATGTTCCTTTTTCTCCCTGGGGCAGCTTTGGGAAGAAAAAAGGAGGTTGTACCATTGCTGTCACATTTTAAGGAGGTATATGCAATTATTCAAAAACAATCAAAGAATAAAAGCACCGAGCACTGTAGCGCACTGTCCTCCCGTTGTTCATCAATTTGCTCGAGCGGGCACCAGTAACATCTCCATTGTGAGACTTGTTGTTACTGTGTTTTGCATATCGAATATGCCACGGGGAGCTTGCCAGGCTCTGCTGTGAGGGCGGGATACTCTCAGTAGCTTGCTCTCCGAGAGGGGCAGAGGAATCAAACCCGGGCCACGGGCAAGGCAAACGCCCTACTGGCTGTGCTATCAGTCCAGCCGCAAGGTTGCAAAGTCAACCTTAAGTCAACCGGCAGCAAACTACAAACAAAGAATAAAAAGCATAAAAAAATGTCCCAGTGTCCCAGCCATGCTCTCGCTCATGAAATCACCTTGTCTAGAAACTCTCAGTGAAGAGATGTGTCGCCATGAGCCTGGGAGAACTGTGATGCTCTCAAGAGCCTGACATCTCTGGCCCCATGATGGTGGAAGTCGCTCTTGTTAAGGGCTGCTCTGCTTGATATTAGCTACTGAACCATTTTCAATACTCTCTTCAATTTTTGTTTGGTACCATCTGTAGGGAACAAAGAGGCAAAATTGTCAGTGCCAAAGGGTGGAAGGGTTTAAAAAGGAATGAAGGGCAGAGAGAAGGATTGTACAAGAGTCCAGGGATATTTTTGGTGGTGGATTCTGATTGAGGGATACTTCCCCTACGGGCTTTCACCTGCTGCTCTACAACGGCGTCAGTATTCCAGGGCAAACAGGTTGCAAGGCTTTTCCCGTGTACAATCTCTTAAACCCTAAAAAGCGTTGCTTTTTAATGGAATTCTGGGATAACTGGTTGTCCACATGCAAAAGGGTGAATTTGGACTCCTACATCAATCTATAAAAATGGTCAAAATGTGAACTAATATCGAAATGCTTAACCCTCTGCTCATATGGAGGAACTTATCACTGTAAAGTTCTAAGAAGAAAAAATAGATTTACATTTTCATCTTCTTAGATAATTATCTCTTGTATTTGAAACTGAAGGAAAATATGACAATAACAATAAAAGGATAAATTGAACTTTATACAAAATTTAAAAACGTAGTAAAGGGAATTAATTCCCTTCTACTTAAGAAAGAGAAGACATAACCTAGAGAATGAAGAGAATATTTGCAGATTGTATATGTATCTGATAAGCATCTAACATTCATAAGATACATGAAGAACATTTATACCTCAACAATAAAACTGCTAAAAATTGGGCCAGAGATGGGTGGGAGATAGTCTAGTGTGTGACGTGCTTGCACTGCAAGAGGCCAACTTGGATGAGTCCTGGCACAGCATGTGGTCATCCGAGCACTCCCAGGAGTGAGCGCTGCCAGGTGTAGCCCCAAATCAAAAGAAAATTGGGGAGGAAAAAATTTGAATATGCATTTTACTAAAGAAGATAAACCAATGGCCACTAAGCGCATGAAAAGATCACAAAAGACTCAACTTCATTAGTCACTAGGAAAATGCACAAATTCACAATGACATATATTACTTCATCTAAACACACATAAACACACACACACACGCAACCAGAAAATAACAGATGTTGGTGAATATGTAGAGAAGAGTCTTTCTACATTGCTGCTGGGAATGCAAAATGGTTTTACTGTTGTGGAAAACAGTTTGGCAGTTCTTCATTACCTGAACACTCACTCATCGTTTGACCCAACAATGTCACTCCCATTCAATTTCATTCCCAAGAAAGTTGAAAATAGATACCCATCCACAACCCCTTCGTGAATGCTCATACTGGCATGACTTAAAACTTAAAACAGCCCCGAAGTGAGACCAACCCAATATCTACCAACAGAGAAACAGAAAACCAAAATGTGATCCATCCATAGGTCCAAGTATTATTTCACTATAAAATGTAATGAAATACTTACACTTGCCCTATATGACACAGGTGACATAAGCAAAGGATCACATATTTTCTGATTACATTTGTGTGATATGCCCAGGAAAGGGACATGTTGTACACAGAGTGTGGATTGATGGGTGAGGGGCAGTGGGAAGTGGGAGCTGACTGCCATCATGTATGTGGTTTCTTGGAGGATGACTGAACTATAGTTGTGATGATCATACACCTAGTAAATACATAATTATTTTCTGGGTACATGAGTTGCTTCGCAAAACAAATGGAGTAGATTAATTACTTCAAATTTACGTTTTCATGCTGTACAGTTCAGTTCAGAAGACTAAAGTGTTTAGAGAAGGGAGCAGGGATGAACGGAGAAGCCGGTTCAGTCTGGTGCCTTTCCCTCAGGCTAAAGGGAAAGTGCTCGCTCCAAACCCTCTGAATGGAGATGTTCCCAGAGCTAAGAGCACTCCATTTGGGCTGGGTGTCACTTCCAAGGCGGACTTGGAGTCCCTCCTTCTGGCAAGTGAAGCAAGCGGGGCTGGGGCGTGTCTCTCTGAACCCTCCTAGGTATGGAGTTGCCACAGGACAGAGGTGGTCTGGCAAGAGGCAGCCTGGACAGGCTAGACAGGGCCTTGCTCGGGAAGGAGACCAGAAGGAAGGCAGCGAGCTAAACCTTGGCAAATGGCAGGGACAGGAGTGGGAGAGACGGGCATGGCCTTTACCGTTGTGTTTCTGCAGGAAGCCGATGACCTTCTCAAGCACAGTGGTTTTGTCCATTTTGCGCGTGTTCCCGGGCAGCATGGAGCTGAGCTCTTTGATGAGAACATTGAACTGGTCCCGCCGCTTCTTCTCAGACTTATTTCGAGAAGCTCTGTAAACACAGCACATGCGGGTTACAGGGCCACTCTGCTTCACAAGGGTTGTACTATGCAGTGGAGGCACCTTCCACAAGCGGGCGTTCTGCTGGCGTCTGATCAGGACTCTCAGGGAAAGCCAGTTTACCACATTTCGGAGCTGAGTAATGGGGACAGAAAATTGTTTTGCTAGACTGTTGGCCTCAAAGAGAGACAGTGTTAATAAGGAAGTTCTGACTCAGATGCAGAATCTTACACAGGTTCCCTCCATGCCAGATTCTACCCACTTGAACTGTAAAAGACGCTTCAGCATTTAGAGAGTGAAGCTCTCGCTGTTCACCACTGGATGCCCATGCCCGGGGCTTGCTCTCAGGGCTCTGCTCTCGCTCCACGTCAAGCCCTCCCACGCCGGTGGCCACGGCGGGAGAAATGGCCAGGCCTTGAGTGTCCAGCAGAGTCAGGTCTGCTCAGGGCACCGACAGGCCCCTTCCCAGGGTCTGGGAGGATGAGATGCCTACATGAAACACTGAGCCCTGCCCTGCCAGACTTCCCATGTCCAGCTGTCAAGAGGGGCCGAGTCCTTTTAAAAGTAGCATTAAATATTCTCATGAAATGGCAGGACCCAATTGCAGAGGCCCAGGTATGGGCCTGCAGTGTGACTGCAGGAGAGAAGAAACCGGGAGGGCATCGGGCCTGTTCTTAGGACTCTTCTAGATGGAACTTCATGACAGAAGTACAAGCTTGTTTCCATTAGCCTCTGTATCGTTTGTTCAAATATACAGAACGCAAAACGTCAGAATGAACCCTCGTGCTAACTAAGGACTCTTTATCCACTTTATTAATTAATTAATTAATTTATTTGGGTTTTGGGTCACACCTGGCTATGCTCAGGGGTTACTCCTGGCTCTGCACTCAGAAATCACTTCTGGCAGTGCTTGGGGGGGACCATATGGGACGCTGGGGATTGAACCCTGGTTGGCTGTGTGCAAGGCAAGTGCCCTGTCCACTGTGATATTTCTCTGCCCCTCCTGATGAGTTCCTCAAGGCCTTCCCCAGGTCCTGTAAATCATTGTTTTCTGTGTGGCGGTGGGTATGCACCCAGCTGTGTCCCGAGAGGACTAATGCATCGCTGGGGATTCAAACTCAGGAGTGCACTCCAGCCCTTTGAGTTAGGTCTCTGACCCCCTAGCATGCGAAATCTTGACTCCAGTCAACGTTCACTCACGGTTTACTTGGTTCATGAACCTGTGTTCAGTTTTTTAAAAAAGTCGAATTTAAAATATGACGCATCATACTGGACACGTAGAGAAAGGTCATGGTAGAACTGCTCAGCTGAAGCACAGAGGGTCTCCCCGGAGCCCTGAGAGCAGCTCTGATGGTCCCTAGGGTCCCAGGGGCGTGACTGGGATGCCAGAGTGTCCCAGCAGACACAGACCGGAAGCTCAGGCCCCAGTCTCGGGACCCTCTGAGGAGGGTGGGAGGCACCCACAGGCCTGAGTGGCTTGCAGCCCCTTCCCAACAGCTGGGTTATTCTAGGGGCTGTGCTGGGAACGTTGACTGTCCCACTCAGATTCACCCAGAAGGACTCGCTCTGTAAGGAAGCCTGACAGGGCAGCTACCCCCTCTGGGCCCGGCTCCTGGGGTCTGGAATCAGGTGTCCCAGGGCTGCTGGTCACTCACTAGGAGACCATGAGCCAATGTGCTGGTGACTCAGGACAGTTTAGTTTCATCCCTGAAGAGCAGCCTCCAAGAGTCATGGGTCCCAGCTTCCATTGAACCCTGCTTCCGAGAACACAGGAACGCACCCAAATTCCACACGCCACCAAGGCCACAATCACACCAGATCTCGGCCTGCCAGGCACTCAGCACTTGACACCAGCACAGCCTTTCCTGTTTATTCTACCTCAGCCTGGGCTGTCTCCCAGGCACACACATGCCTCCAAGCTCACTTCAGGGCACACTCAGCCCCTGCACCTAAGGGATCATCCTCGACTTGCCTTGACTCTTATTCCTCTCCGTCCTTGGGTCTTGGGGAGGCCCTGAAGTCCTGAGTGGAGCTACAGGAGCCTTGGTCCTGGCCAGGCTCCTCTCCACAGTGGCATGCCTCCCACAGTTGAGGCCGACTCACACTTGAGTAAGTTGCAGTGCCTTTTGCTCAGTCAGAGAAACAGTGTTCAGACACACCCGCGAGAAGAAAGGAACCTTTCAACTTGCATAGTGGCTGTCTATACATTATAAATAATTTTTTGGCCTAGATTACTTAAAGATGACAGGCAACCACCATAGTTAAAAAGAAAACAACACCCCCCTCCAAAATCCCTGTTCCTGTCCTAGTTTGTCCATATAAATTTGTTGTGAACTGGTACCACCCAGCTCATTACTGCTCAGTTCCCTTCTTTTATGGGTGCACTGACAGTGCACAGCCTGGCGAGATGAGGGCTTCTATCAGTCCTGACAGAAAGACAAGTGTGCGTCCGTCAGCCACTGTGGTGACCAGTGGACAGTGCTCAATGGCACCTGGACCCACAGCTCAGAGGCAAAAGGAAACAATTCAGATGAGTTTATTTCCTGCAGGAGGGCTGAATGGCAGGCTGAGCCCACCACCCTTGGACAACAGGCTGAAAGATGCTGCAAGAACCAGCTTGAGATGTGCATGGTCTTCCTTCTGGGAGTCTCCCGGAGGGCTGCATCTGGGGTGGCCGTGAGGGGTGAGCGGCAGGTCCTCCCCAGCAGCCAGGGAAGAGTTGAGTGGGGGTGAACGGGAAGAGCTGAGTTGAGTGGACAGTGGACTTGGAGATACTCAGGAAAACCAAGTGAGAGGACAAGGGCAAAGGGAGCAGGAGTGTGTGTGGGCCCAGGGGAGCACAGGCCAGTTCTGGGTGTGAGTGGCATCACGAGTGAGCATCCTCCAAGGTGAGCCTCAGGGGGACTGTGCTGATCTGGCCTGGGGACGCTAGAGAAGTTGGGAGAGCACCAGGGAGAACAGGAATCAGGCCCCGCACCCAGTAGCAGCAGGGAGACTCATGGAGACCCACACACGGACATGCCAGGGGGGCTTCCAGCCTCTCGCCCTCGGTCGGGGGCTTGGGTCTGAGCCACACCGAGTGCTTTCCGTGGTCTGGTCCGTGGAGATGTGGACATGACACACACAGAGTGTGCAAGGCCAGGTTCTCACTCAGCTACTGCCTGTGTGTGGTGTGTATGAGTGTGCGTGTGTGTGTGTGAGTATGTGAGTGTGTGTGTCTGCATGTGTGAGTGTGTGTGTGTGGGGGGGGGGACTGGGTCAGGCCCCTAAGAAGGCTGCAGTCAAAGCGGGAGGGAAACTGCTCACTTTCCCCTGGAGCAGGAAGGGGGTCGGTATGGAGGAGGAGTCTGTGTCTCTGCCTCTCTCACACCCACGGGGGCACACACACATGTCAAGGGAAGATCTGCTTCCTTCAGAGGAGACAAGGGAAATGTGTTCTAGAGCTCCCGATCAGTAAGAGGAAATCAAAACTGAGGGTAAATTCAAAGAAAATGGGAAAAACCCCCACCACATGGAATTCCATCTCTGTAACACAGCGGTAGGGCGTTTGCCTTGCATGCGGCCAACATGGCCAACCCGAGTTCGATTCCTCCGCCCCTCTCGGAGAGTCCGGCAAGCTACCGAGAGTATCTCGCCCGCATGGCAGAGCCTGGCAAATTCCCCGTGATGTATTCGATATGCCAGACACAGTAACAACAAAGTCTCCAATGGAGACGTTACTGGGCCCGCTCGATCAAATCGACGATCAACGGGAGGGCCTTTACCTTTACCTTTTTATTACCACTAAATGGCTGGTAGAGTTACCAAGAAATCCTTCAGTAAAATAAAACTTGCGAAAATTGTTCTATCTCACCGTGGGTTCCTTAAGTCCTTGTCTTGGGTTTACTAAGATGTTTGCTGCCAGTTGAGCCTCCTGCGTTACTGTTTGTTAAGCAGAGTTGGCTTCTGTGTGACTTTCCCATATAATTTGGTGTGTTCCTACTGGGGTGTCAGTACTATGGGATTTGGGGGTGTGGTCGTGGGTGGGAGAAACTCCAGGATATGTAACAGGTAATTGTGGGATGGGGGTGAGGTTGTGGGGTGCATCTGGTGGAGGGAGTGTGGGGAGAGGCTGACTCCCCATTCTGAGAAGACCCCAGACTTCCCAGCCTGGAAAGCTGTGTGCTCGTCACATTTGGCAGTGTGGCATCTCTGCAGAGGTCACCATGGAGTGGGGCTTTGGCATGGTGGCCGCTCTGGGGTGTGGGCATGCTGCCAGTGCCACGGCAGGGGTGGACTCGGCCCCCACCCAGGACTGAGGTGCCAGGAGTTTCTGCGACTTGACCCGCACCTCCGTGAGATGCATATGGAGTCTCGAAAGCTGGGCTGACGAATGAGCTCACATGGCGGCAGGTGTGGGACGTGGATGTGGGACGCCAGGAGGACGGGCTGGGGTGGGCTTCCCACTGTGAGGGAACCCCAGGGTCCTCAGGAGAGTCTATCTCGGAGTCCCCTTCATGCGCAGAGAAGTGAGGATTAAATCTCCAGCTTAAGCCTCTCTAGCATCCAGGGTTGAACTAACTAGCCCCACACCTAGCAGAACTTAGAGCAGGCAAACGGACCCTCTTTCAAGATAGAGTAATATACAAGTGGTACTACATGGAAAGTGTCATGCTAAGCGAAATGAGCCAGAAAGAGAGGGACAGACATAGAAAGATTGCATCCATCTGGGGAACATAAAGCAACAGAATAGGAGACTAACACTCAAGAATAGCTGAGATAAATATCAGGAGGTTTACTCCATGGCTTGGAGGCCAGCCGCACACTCTAGGGGTAAAGGCAGCTCAGATAGAGAAGGGAGCACCAAATAAAGGGTGCTGGGAAGATCCGCCCAGGATGGGAGTATGCACACTGAAAGTAGACTTATAGACCGAACACGATTGCCACTCAATGCCTCTTTTGCAAACCACAGCACCCAAAAGGAGAGAGAGAACAAAAGGGAGTGCCCTGCCA